GGTGGTGCATGCCTGTAGTCCCAGCTACTCAGGAGGCTGAGGCAGAAGAATTGCTTGAGCCCAGGAGTTTGAGGTTACTGTGAGCTAGGCTGATGCCACAGCACTCACTCTAGCCTGGGCAAAAAAGCGAGACTCTGTCTCACAAAAAAAAAAAAAAAAAAAAAAAAACTATTCTATATACACTTACTGGAAGCATCGCTTCAGCCCATTCGCCATGTCCTCGTTGTAGAAGTTTAATTCTTTCCAGATCATAACAAACTTGTACAAGGTCACCCACTTGAAACTGGGAGGCACCTCCTTCTGCACCTTGAGCAGCATCCCCACTTCGGACAATGTTTGCTTTAGTGAGAACAGCAGGATTGAAGGTCCACCTACAACAGCAAAGCTAAAACTCAAAATGGGTACGTTTACTTAATTTTCACAAAACATTCTTAAACACAGCAGATCAAAACAGCAAGGCAATCCTTTGCAATTACATCCTGAATAATTTGTATTTCCTTTTCATAATTTTATTATACAAATTTGGGGAAAGAGTCATCTGTAATCACACCACCCTAATACAACTATTAACATTTTAGTACACTTTTGACTAGATTTATTCTCTCCTGCAATAAAGAAAGCAATCCCATTTATAATAGCTACAAAAATATAAAATACCTAGGAATAAATCTAACTAAAGAAGTGAAACATCTCTACAAGGAAAAACAATAAAACATTCATAAAAGAAACCAAAGAAGACACAAACAAATGGAATGATTGGAAGAATTAATATTGTTAAAATGTTAATACTACCCAAAGCAATCTACATATTCAATGCAATCTCTATCAAAATACCAAGGACATTCTTCACAGAAATAGAAAAAACAAGCCTAAAATTCAAATGGAACCACACGAAAGACACCAAATAGGCAAAGCACTCCTCAGCAATAAGAACAAAGCTGGAGGCATCACACTATCTGAATTCAAAATATACTACAAAGCCATAGTTACCAAAATGGGATGGTACTGGTATAAAAATAGACATATAGATCAATGGAACAGAATAGAGAACCCAGAAATAAATGCACGCACTTATAGCTCACTCACGTTCGACAAGTGTCAAGAAATTACACCAGGGAAAGTACAGTCTCTTCAATAAATGGTGCAGAGAAAACTGGACAACCATATGCAGAAGAATGAAACTAGACCCCTATCTTTCACCATAAACAAAAATCAAATCAAAATGGATTAAATACTTAAATATTAGACTTAAAACTATAAAATTACTAGAAGAAAACATTGAGGAAATGCTTCAAGACATTGATCTGGGCAAAGGTTTTGGGGGAGGGGGGGTAAGACCTCAAAAACACAGGCAATAAAAGCAAAAATAGACATATGTGATTGCCCAAGCTAAAAAGCTCCTGCACAGCAAAGGAAACAATCATAAGTGAAGAAACAAAATTTCAAACAATATATTCAAAAGAAAGGAAATCAGTATATTGAAGAGATATCTGCACTCCTGTGTTTAATTCAGCATTATTCACAACAGCCAAGATACGGAATCAACCCAAGTGTCCATCGGTGGATGTGGATTAAAAATGTGTGGTATATATACACAATGGATATTATTCAGCCACAAAAAAGAATGAAATTCTGTCATCTGCAGCAACATGGATAGAACTGGAGGTTATCACGTTAAGTGAAATACGCCCGGCACAGAAAGACGAATACCAAATCTTCTCACTCATATGCAGGAAATAAAAAAGTAGATGGTAGAGAGTTGACTGGTGTTTACCAGAAGCAGGGAAGGGAAGGGGAGGGGAGAGGACAGGATAAAGAGGGTTGGTTAATGGGTAAAAAAATTAGATAGAAGGAATAAGATCTAATGTTCAATAGCACAGTAGGGCGACTATAGCTAGTAATGATTTGTTCTATAGGTCAAAATAGCTAGAGGAAAGGAATTGGAATGTTCCCACTATAAACGGGGTAAATGTTTGGGGTGATGGATATCCCAAGTGCTCTGGTTTGATCAGTACACATTGTATGCATATATCAAAATATCATATGTACCCCAAAAATACGTACAACTATTGTATATCAATAAAAAAAGAGAGAGAGAGATGACCCTGGAGATACAGACCACAAGAGTTTTAACGTAACCCTTCTCAGCAGGGTAGATTGATATGGTCCATTATGAACACAGACTTTTTTTTTTTTTTTAAGAGAGAGGCTGGCCAGGCATGGTGGCTAACACCTATAATACTAGCCACTTTGGGAGGCCAAGGCAGGAGGATCACTTGAGGCCAGGAGTTCAAGACCAGCCTGGCAATGTAAGACCCCCGTCTTTATAAAAAATGTAAAAATTAGCTGAGTATGGTGGTGCACACCTATAGTCCCAGCTACTCAGGGGGCTGAGACAGGAAGATCATTTGAGCCCAGGAAGTTGAGGTTACAGTGAGCTGTGATCACACCACTGCACTCTAGCCCGGGTGACAGAGTGAGACTCCGTCTCAAAAAAAAAAAAAAATAGAAAAGAGAGACAGGCAAAGTGGACTCAAACTGCTGGGCTCAAGCAATTCTCAAACCTCAACCTCCAGAATGGCTGGGATTACAGGTCTGTGCCAGACCCAGCAACACCGAACTTTTTAAGCACTTAGACCTAATACTGATATAATGTATTCTACTCCAGAAGGAAAAATGAACAGTGCACAGAACACTGTATCACAAATATAGTCATATAAATTCACATACACACAGACCATACGCACATAAAACCTTTATCTACCATTTAAGAGCTAGCTTTAATAAGTCTTTGGTTTCTTTTGCTTTCTTTAAAGTTCTCTATATAATAATTTCATTTGTCATCATCAAAAGTTGAGAAATATCACCAACCTATTGCCACTTGGATACTGTACTACAATGTCATGATCTTCATCAATGCCACAAACAGTTCCAGTTGTAGTTAAAGTCTCAAACATTCCATCAGTCCATCCTCCATGACCATGCTGCAAAGACTGTACAATTTCTAGGTCAAGATCTATATTTACTAGGTCACCAATCTGTAATCCACCAGGATTCCTGTTGCCATTCTGCTCACCTGCAATTTCAGACACAGTTGAAAAAACAAAAAGAAAAAAATCACAGCAACAATATGCAACTTCGTTATTTTTAAACAAGAACAACAAGACATATTAGTTTTAGGCGTTACCTAATCTTAAAATGTTTTGAGAATTCACTGTAAGTATGAAATTCTAGAACTAGAGAGCTTTAAGAAAGAAAAAAATCACACTCAATAATTGAAATAATGTGATTATTTACAACAAAGACTAAACAAGAGTAGCATCTACAAAATCCAACCTTATTTCAGAACACAAAGTTCTGGGTGCTGAAAATATTCACTTTTATGAATAACTAGAGACTATGAAAGAAAACTGGAATTATTTTGAAGTGAATTAATCTGAAGTGCTTAGTATTATTTTTTAATAAATGGTTCTTGTGATTTTTGCCCTAAACAGCATTTTTAAATATTTTAAAGCCTATTCCCTAAATTATTTCCAAAGCTAGTTGTGAGATAAAAGATTCATGATCATAAAAAACTATGCTGAGAGAACCAAAATATGCATGTTGACTCTGCATTTTTCTTATGAAAGCAAAACACAAAATAAGAAAGTTTCTGAAAGCAAGAAAAATGGATGAGCTCATCAAAAACACAGGTATTTTTGCTACATTCTCCTTTTTTTAAAAGAAAAAATTAAGGTATGCTGCAAGCAAACACTTTTTGCTAAAAAGGCAAGCCAAATGATTTGGAAAGAGGAATACACAGTTCACATGAGAAAGGAAAACATTCAGAGACTAAAGATTTGATCAGGAGAGTGTAATAAATGTTCGCTCTTACAACAGTAAATCCATAAAATGAAGGTAATTTTGGTTTCTAGTCCTCCTTTTTATTTTAGTGATACATGAAATCATATTTATTATATTACCTTAATTTTAGAGCTACTTTTGCATTAAGAAGACAATTTTACAGAAATTCTAATGAATTTATAAGCACTAATTTGTCAAATTCTATTCTCAGTAGTGTATGATATACAACAATGATGTAATCTAATGCAAAATTTTTCAATGATATAAGTTTATGGTTAAAAGACAAAAGTTTCAAATATATATTATGACATAAATGGCATATCAATTCTCCAGACATGACAACTCTTTTGAGTCTAAATAAATCTTGGTAAAAGAACAAATGCTTTAAAACCAAAATAAAACCAAAAAATTATTTCTCTAAATAACTTTAATGGTAATTAATTTTTTTAAAGTCCAATTTAAACATTTTATTGACTCCATGAACTCTGACCCATTATTTAGTAATTTTCTCTAATCTGCTAACTCACCTAGCACAGGGCAGTGATCTCTGTAGAAAGAACCTCCTTTGGCATCCTGAACACACTTCAGATCAGACTAAGAAGAAAAGAAACCAGAAAAAAAATCACACATGAAAACTTCAAATGTGGCTCAATACCTGAAACAGGAACAAATATTCATTCAGAACATACCCACAACAGAAGTCAAGAGTAGCTCTGGGTTAACAAACACATTAAACATTGTTTTCAAAGTACTTGTCAAAAACTAGAAACCTAATCTTCATATAGATCATGCTTGATTTATTTTAGCTTTCTTTCAAAGCTCATAATTAAAATGCCTGTATCTTATTAGATGATATTATAATAT